AAACAAAACTTTATTTTTCAAAAGCCATCATCAATACACTACTTTGAGCTTCACCGAACTGTATAGACAACTAAGGTAGTTGTCTCTCGTGTGTACGGCCTTTAAACCTTTGTAACACACACACAACAAAATCTATATGTGTGCGACTGTTCTAATGAAACAGTCCCAATCTGGTGAAACGCTCTTGAAACCAGAACACATCTATGATAATCTTTTCCCCTAATCTGTGAGAGTTTATCAGACAGTTTAAGGTAGGAAACAGCTGTATTGATTATTTGCTCGCCCTGTAGCACTAACTAACTCGCAGGTTATCACCAGGCTGTATCGTGTTCACCTCCATGTCCCCATGCACATCAAGACCACTACAGCCCTGTACCTGCCTGTCTGAGGGCTGTGAGCTATAGATGGTCACCATGGTGACTGGTTAACTGGGTACACATTTCCCTCTAATCCCTGAGATTATCATTAGCTAGCTTTTGCAACCCCACTGGGAGGTGTATACTGTCACTGACAGGCTAACTGAGGACTTGCATCGACCTGTGAGAGAAAAGCTCGGTTCTCCATGTAATAGTTATTGCCATTCTCCCCCCTCATCCAAATAGGGGTCATTTGATTAACACCAGGAGCTCCATTATCAGACACAACTCTGCCACCTCTGGCGAACAAACTAGCCATTAGGTCGCTCTACAGCCGGGCAGTTCAGGTTCCCAATGTATGTTTTCTCGTGGCGGGCGATGAAACCTAGGAGAAAAACACCTTGCTCCATTATCGGACACCCTCCCAATGACAGGCGCCGTCCGTCAGAAAGAGTTCCTCCTTTATTTACAGCCGAAACGTAAAACGTCGCCATATAAACAAAGCATGAGCAACGAGAAAACCCCAGCTGCCACGGTATTATCCACATTTCACATCTTTCAGTGTTTGTGCTAAGGTAAAAGAGGGGGCTCTGTCGGGGAAACAGAATTTGCACGACACCTGTCGTCGCGGTTGTAGCTTGACATCCAGCTGTTATTTTGGGGCTTTTCACAGCACGTCCAACAACACCATCGTTTATGGCCTTTCGCACTATAATAGCAGGGATTTTAACTCATCCAGCGACGGTTCAGGCGGATGACAGATCTCTGTTAGCAAAGACTGTACCAACTTTGTACGATGTAATTACCGTGTATCATTACAAAAATCGGTATTTGCATCTGTCGGTTTAATGTTGATGGAAACTCGCAGCTGGGTTTTGCAGGCAAAGTGGAACCAAGCGTGTCAGACAGGGTCGTGTCCGATAACGGGCGTCTCGTCGCTCATTGTCCGATAACGGATGCATGCAAGTTGTATTTACCTGTAATGGGAAAGAGGCGCTCTTGTTGCCCACATATCCCCGGACTACATGGCTCTGTATGGACAGAACACGGCATTCCATGGCGGCTCCCGGTCAGCCGAGGAGGGATGCAGATAATCCGTTACTTCAACGATAATCACGTCTACACATAACAATACGGAAAACAGCGTTAACACAACGACAGAGCCGCCGGTTAGTAAGAAGTAACGTTAGCTAGCCAGCTAACCAGCTAACCAGCTGTGTGACACAGGCAGGATGGCGGCGAGTGTGAGCGCGTGGTGAGGTTGTAGCGGGTGATGTGCAGTGTGTGTGTGTGAGAGAGAGAGAGAGAGAGAGGGAGGGAGAGAGAGTGTGTGTGTG